CGAGAAGGTTTACCTAACGTAATAGTTTATTGATTTGTATTTCATTTCAAATTGTATTATAGCTTAAAGATTATCCTGTACATTGCATACACATACACACATACACACTCACACACGAGCACTATTGTTTTAAATTGTACGTTTATGATTATTATACGAAGATAAAAAAAAGAAAAATAAATAAGGTATACAAAGTATTGAAGACACATGGGAAATTTTATTCTGAATCTCGATCTACGAGAATCTTCGACGATTCCTTTACGATTTGTAGAAATCGATGCATCATCCGAGGCATCGAGCCGTGTATACATGTAATACAAATTTTTTTTCCAACGTAATAAACTTTTTTTGTACTTTACAACGCATTTTAAACGATACAAATTATACGAATTATTTTAAATGATGAGATAATAAATTTTACGATAATTTTAAAAATCACTCTGTTTTTTTAAGAGGTACAAATACGTTTTTCTTTTTTTTTTCTTTTTTTTTTTTTTTTTCTATAAATCATTCGAATCTGAACTGAAAACACGTGAAACATGAAATATACAGAAATATACAACTCGATGTCTCGAACGATACACGACTTACAGTGGTGTACAGATCAATTAATTCTCGTTTGGTAGGGAAACTTGATAAACAGTCTACATCGATCTGAATCCCGCGATAGCGTTAGACACGCAATAATACGATTTAAACACAATACGAATGGAAAATTCTCTTTATTGTATATACGTATATGATTATATTATTCATATCAGTGTCTCCTTTCAAGAATTTCTAAATTAAAACGACTGTATTACAAATTTTATAGCGGTTATTCTATTGATCCCTCCATGTCTTGAATTTAATTGTTAATATTTTAATATTTTTTAAAGAAGAGAAAATCGTTGTTTCTAATTTTAGGCATAGAAAATATTGCGTATTATTAAAGATCTTTTGACGAATTTATTTCAGTTAAAAAATAAGACAAAATATAAGAATAATTGCAATAATTGCAGTATTCAAAATAAATTTAATTTCGTTGAAATTATTATATTTCAAATTTAAAATATTTTAAAAATATAAGTTATAAATATTTCGTTATTTTTCATTTATATAAATTCCATTTTAATACATGTTGATAATAAGAAAATCATCTATGTCTTTATGTATTGAAATATCGATCTCGAAAAATAAAGACGTTTGTTACAACTTTGCAATTTATTATGGTCGGAAAACGTAAAAAAACGTAAAAAATACAACCCATCGAAAACAATTCGTTCAATAATTGAACTAACAAAACTTATCTGATATTGATATATTTTTATTATCTTCAAATAGTAATATCGTTTTCTAAATTTTAAAGATCATATTTTAGACGAGGTTAGCATAAGATAACTATGACATCTTACTCACGGATTTTGTAACTCATGTTTTGAAATACCGACCTCGAACAAAGCAGAATGTTTCTTACGCCCTCTGCGATTTATTACGGCTAATATCGAAACTATATTCATGTACTCGAAAAAAATATACATATTTATATATCTATATACTACGAAAAGATCTACGAAAAAATTTTCTTTCTTTCTTTCTTTCATTTCATTATCATTTCTTATCCTTTTTATTTGCTTGTTTCACTTGAGGCATGCAATAGATGGCGCTGATATCAATATTTATATACCTTATCTCTATCTTTCTTATATTGTTTGATCACACAAATTCATATTTTTACCGTGTTGTAATAAAAAATACGAACGTAATTTTGAATTTATGGATAATTCATCAGATTAGTTTATCCATTGTGAGTTAAATCTATCATAACAGTCAAAATCTCATTTTTGTGATTTTTATTATTATTATTGAAAAATATGAATTTCATTTATTATTTTTTTTAAAAGTAATGAAATTATATTTCTTATTTTTCATTGAAAAATTTGTCATGAGAAAAATTATAATAATTTTTACAAAGAATGAAAAAATATACTTACTGTGTTTCATAATACAATTTCAAATATGTTAAAAACAAAATCATTTAATTGATTTATAAATAAAATCAATAAAAAATGAAATATTAATACATTGTAAGACTAGATATTCTTCTAAAATAATAAAAATTATTTTTATCATATTATTCTAAGAACAAAAATATTATAATTTTGAAATTATGTTAGTTTTGAAATCTAAAAAAAAAAAAAAAAAAATAAATTTAAATCTAATTTTTATTATTATCTGATATTCTTATATCTCATCAAACTATAACTTATGATTCATTTATGTTTCATTAATTAAATAAGGTAAAATTTTGACATAGTTTATAATAATAATAATATTATTATAATAAATATATAATTAATAAGAATTTCTTATTGGCACTTTTATTATGTAGCAATAATTAATAATAAATTATTTTCTATTATTTACGAATTTTAAAATATTTTTTAACTCATAAAAAAGAAAACATTAATGTTATTTTGAAATAACGAGAGGACAAAAATTACTACAGATTATATATCTTTTACATCTTACACTTAAAACATAAATTCTTTCTTCTGTGATTAGTAATTTGCAAAAAAATAACTCTTTATATGTTTTAATATATTAAAATAAAAAATTCTCAGAGAAAGAAACAATATAAAGAAATACAAAATAATTTTAATCTTCAAGTGATGAAAAAGAGCATTGAAATAATGAGATCGTCCAATTTTAACTAAACTTATGAATTTTTTTTTTCTATGAATTTAAATCACGTAACTAATAGTTATATCATAGTTATTTACAACAATTATAAATGTATTCGATATTAAAAACTTAATACATTAAAATAAACTTTCATTACTTAACGAATAGCAAAATTTGTACCTTTCTTCAAAGATTATCTTAAACAATATATTAAAACTTGTACTAGTAATAAGTATTGATGAAATTAAAATTTGTAAAAATATAAAAATATTACAACAAGTTTATATCAATTTCATTATATCATCATACTGGCCATCTTATTCAAAATATATTTTTCAAACTAAATTTTTGTCATTAATATATTTCCAAAATTGTATTGTCATTTTCTTCCGTTTTATCTTCAACTGTACATATATTTATACATATATATGTCTCTCTATTTGGATTTGGATTTTAAATTTATGAAAAGAATTGTTATTGACGATCTTATTATTGTAAGCTCTTTCTTAATGAGCCCATACACGCGTAAGACAAGCATTTAACTCGCCATAGCGGTTTCTTAAAACATGTCCATTCTTTTTCCCTTATTTCCCTACAGATTCGCTAATAATTTTTTTATACTCCAATCCAACAACAACAACGCAAGGATTTTAATGAAAAATTTGTCGATGTATACGTATATATCACAAATGATGATAAAACTTTATTTTTTTTTTTTTTACTCTACCAAACGTGTCAGCATCTTTTTTATCGAAGGGCGGGTAGAAAAAGCGAGAAAAAAAAAATTACTAAAGCAAGTGCAACGGAATTTACGAAAAGCAACTACGACATTACTTTTATTACGTCATCCTACGTATAAATACCGAACATCGAATTGTGTTTGGGTTAAGTTTAACTGTTCGGTACGCGTATTTTCGTTTTTCACTGCTCAATTACAATAATATAATTGTGTGTATACATAATATACACACACGTATTTTTGTGTATATACTTGTGTATGTGTATGCATGTATATTTATATATATATATGTATAATATATACCATATATTATAAATATATATGAGTATATACGTGTTTCGTGTACGTGTGTTAGTTTTTTTTTTCTCTCTCTCTATATATATAAATGTAAAATACTGACATGCATGTACTTGCGGAGTCGTGACTTAAATCGTACGCATTGCTCGCCTCAAATGGAACTTGCGAGTATCGAGTACATGCCTCGCGAGCATCGAAATCGAGGTGTAAAAGGTCGGTCGATTGACAAGAAAGAAAGAAAGAAAGAAAGAAAGAAATTCGTTCTGCTTTTTCACGCGAGCCTTCATCAAACAAATTGTGTACGCGTGCGATCCTGTCACGCTCCGATTCCGAAAGAATCGTTTTTGTACAAGAGTGCTACATTAAAAATTCTGTCGGGAGAAAGAAAAGTAGACAGAAGTTAGATCGACAGACGAACGAAGCCTGTTTGTCTCGAATAAAAAAAAAAACGATTACAATTGGTCTTGTCTTATGGAAGAATTTCTATAATTTCACCGGGTCGTTAGACGAAATAGGGAGAGTTGTCCCTCCAAGAAGAACACAACTTCCATTATCGTGATTAACTACGGTTTTATTACCAATGAATCGAAAAAATTATCGATGGCAAACAACGATGCACGAACGACGACGAAACACACAGATAGTACAGCAGAACGAAGTTAAATCGATTTAATTGAGAATTTCATTTTTTATTTTTTTTTTTTTTTTTTTTTTTTTTCAACAAAATAATTTAGTTACGACATCGAGTCAAACGGTCTGGAGTTTTCTCGGGTTTTAAGGGGAACGAATGGACACGAGCAGGAGGAAGGCGCTTATTACTTAGGACCGAGGAAGGAAATATGGTAGGAAAAATGGATAGCAATGGATAATAGATATGATTTGAAAAATCGGCCTTAATTAATTAAGCATTGTTACACGAAGTCTCGACGAATGGCTGCGTAAGTATATGTGTGTGTTGTGTGTACCGATCGATCGTACACTCGTGGCCTGATTCTATTTTTCCTTTCCTTTTTTTTTTTTTTTCTTCTTTCTTGTTTCTTGTCTACGTTACGTCTGCGCTACCGCTAATAGTAGTTTAGAGCTAAATATACAACTAGTACCCCCTCATATCTCGGGACCCACGCAACGAATTATGCGGCTGAAGTACTTCCATACGAATACACGCTTGCACGTTGTTTATTTTTCATGTGTTTTTTCTTTTTTCGCACGCTCCAGTCGGCCGTCCTTCTAATATTATATAATAATGCACGTTGATTGGACGCCACGCACTGACGCCGAAAGCCAGTCATTTCATTGTTATCGGTACATTTCTTCGCGTTCGGCCAATCTCTCGGTTAGATGTTTCCCTTTCTTTTTTCGTTCCTTTTTCCGTTCGACTTAATGCCGAGAGAAATATTTTTGTCGCATGAAGAGTAGGTACGCACATACGCAGCATACATTACTAGAACGAAACTGTTCCAGACAAACGCTCGCCGATTTCCAATCATTTAATCTGAAATCTGTTCGCTATATAATAATACGTTCGTTACACGCTCGTACGTTCACACTTTTTGTTATTATTACATCTTATATGCGTTGCACGAAGGAACATGCCCACGTACCCGATCAAATTGACGCTCAGCATACTCGGTTGACGCTTTCCTTCTTTTAATGATATAACGTATATGCGCACACGCGTATATATATGTGTGTGTGTGTGTGTGTTGTGTATCTCTTGTGTATGTCATACGTATCTCGGTGCCATCTTCGGATGTCACATCGTCAAGAACGCTCGAGGAGAAGTCGGCACGGCAAATGAGAACGAGCGACCATGATTCTTCTTATATCTCGAGAGACAGCCGAAATTCCCATTATCGTCGGTGGATCGAGGAGGACGACGCGTTATTTTAACAAGCCAAGATGTATATAAGTAAATAAGTAGCACACTTCTCACGAAGGGACAAACGATCGATCGATCATTCGAACGAGCATGGTTTACATTATTACTGTTGCATTTCATTTTTTAATTTTCTTTCCTTTTTTTTTTTCTCTTCTAACCGTCGATGAAATTATGGCAATGTCCTCCTCACTTTTTCAACGAAAATTAATTAATCTCGACCGACTCTCCTCGAATCGTGCAGTTCATTTACCGTAAAACGTATATGTAATATTAATAATTACTAATTATACTTTATTATAAATTAATTAAAGAGCTCTTAATCGTACATGTTTATGTGTGTATAATAATATTAATATTAATAATAGTAGTAATGTACGATTAACTTTTTTTTTTTTTTTTGTTAGCAGCTTACTCTCTCGGCCGTTTTCATCGAATTCGACGCGCATCGTTCGCCTTCTCTCCAAAATCTTTCTTTCTCGACGAAGGTTCAACGAGACCCTGATGTTTTGGTGACTAGCGGCACTCCCAGATCTTCACCGTTTGATCGACACTACCGGTGACCACGTAAGGATGGCTTTTGTGAAAATCTACAAAGACACGATTATTATTAGTAATTTATCGATATACGTGTGTGAAAAGTTTTAGAAAATATTTTATAATTCTTCTCTTTTTTTTTGCGATCATTATTACATGATATCTAATTTGTGCAATTACATTGAAATCTTTTTATGGGATACAGTTGCAGCAGAGTTGAATTGTTTATTTATTCGAATAATAGATTTTCAATTGTACGAATTGAACGAATATACGATAAATAGTTTTGATAAATATACTTTTTTCTCATTGTGTGTTTTATCATTTTTTTTTCTTTTAGATTCATATATTATTGATTTATTTTATGCCGTTCTTAATGCATGCACAAAGATAAGAAAAAGCAAATCATACGATATTCAAATAATGGTAACGCGAAAAATTGTAATATTTTTTTTTCGTTGAACCGATAGATACGTAAGCTGCTCTTTCGATCAATCGTATGGTAAAAATAGCACATCGTTGGCTATACTCTATAAACCAAGGTTCTATTATGATTCATTGTTAATCGGAATAAGTAATAAATTACACGAAACTCTGTCACTTTGAGAAATTTGGAAAACCTGAAAAACAGAAAATAATTGAATATAAAGATGAAACAAGAAAAATATTCTGAAAATCATTGAACATATATATATATATATACTTATAGAGACAAATAGAGATAATTAAGAAGAAGAAGAAGAAAAAAGAAATAGCTGCTTAAGTTACATAAGAGCGCGTGGAAAAATTCAATTCGTTATTGGATCTCTTAATCTCTTCAAGTCGGCTCTGCTGCACATACACGAGAGTAATTAAATCTTCTTAAATTTCCAACGTGTGTTTTTTCCAACCAATTGACGCTCCTCGGAATTGTTACTCACCAACGGAGGTGCAGAAATGGACGTGCGCTTCGAGGGTTTTCATTACCCGTTTGTTGCGCGTGTCCCAGACTCGCAGGGTCTTGTCGTCAGACGCACTGACGATGAACTTGCCACCTGGATGGAAGACGATGCCGCGGACCCAGTTGTCGTGGCCCAACAGGGCGAAAAGACAAACACCGGCACCGACGTCCCACACACGAATTACTTTGTCTCGGGAGCCAGATGCGAGGAAAGGACCTTCGTGGGCACCCTTGTTGTCCGCCCCTGCTGCAGCGTTGATCGATGCTCTTGCACTGTCCGGCGCCCATGCGATACACTCTACCACGTGTTCGTGGTCTCTGAGTTCGACCTGAAAGTACAATTGTGTCTTAATTACAACAATATTTTTATTTATTTTTGGAGGAATTGCTTTTTACAAGAATAACGTAGGCAAAGTAGAAGTAGAGAGAGGAAAAGCACTCGTCGAATTTCCTTTTAAATTTATATTCACTTTGCTCGCTACTTTAATCGATTATTAATATCGCGTAATAAATTATCTCAACTTAACTTAATTCCGTTACATAATGTTTTATCATTCAAGATACAATAATCCAACAATTAGCGACACTCTCGAAGATTATAAAACGTGTTGTAACACAGGAAGGCAGCTTAAACATTTCTATCGCTCGAAATATAAATCTTGGCGAGGAGAAACTGGAAGCGTACCTTTGTTTCCTTCGTTGCTACGTGCCAAACTCGTACCGTTTGGTCGTTCGAGCAACTAGCTATTAATTCTCCGCAAGGACTGACTCTGGCCATCCGTACCCACTCTCTGTGCCCCGTTAACGTTTTCACGCAATACCCTGTCGCTACTTCCCATATTTTGATGGTCTTATCCCTGGAGGCGCTCACTACGAAATCCCCTTGTGGCACAAATGCGACAGAGCTGACACTGTGATCATGCCCGTGCATGGTTTTCACGCAGGCGAATGACTGGTGAAAGTCCCACAACTTGATAGACATGTCTGCACTGCATGAGACTAACAGTTTCCCGGAGACATCGAAGGAAACGTCCTGCACGCTGTCGGTGTGCCCCTTCAACGTTCTTTCGAATTCGCCGCTTTCGAAGTCCCACACCTTCGGGTAAAAATTAACACATGAGAATATGAATGAATTTTCGCGATGATACAATGAAAAACATGATAAAACAGTTGGCTAGTTTGAAACATATACCATTGAATTATAGATTAAAATTTTGGTTATTTCAATTTTTTGAAGAAGATCTTTTTTATATCTCGAAATAAATAATATTGTACTTTTTTGCTGGAACAAGAATTTTTCTACTCTGGGGTAAGAATTTGTTTGTTCGAATTTACACGATGAAGAGAAATGGAAGATGATACTCCTTTCTTAAAACTCTGACTGAATAATCCTTTTCTTTGTTATCTCGATGACTTCACACGTTGAATAGTTAGAAATTTCGTGTGTATTTTAGATTCCATGGGGATGAATTTGAGGAACAAAGAGAACACCACACTCGTTTTATTTTTGCTTAATTCCACTAATCACACTTTCAACTTCAAAGTCGATGATTCTACCTTGATAGTGGCATCTTCGCTGGCGGACACTATAAGACTAAAAACCGGATGGAAAATAACTCTGTTGATAGGGGCTCTGTGTCCAGTGAGGCTGTATTTTTCGGGCGGCCTTGGTATCCACTCGGATGGTGATCGTTTGCTACGTGTTGGTGCCCCTTCGATGAATTCCTTCTCAGCTTCAGAGAGTTTCGACTCCAGTTCCATTACCTGATATGAAATGTTTAAGATAATATTATTATTGCGTGTTTTACAACAATTTTACTTGATGTATCGTTATTAATAAAAACAAATTTTAATAATATAGAGTTATTTACACTCTACTATTTAAAATTAATGAAAAATTATTTAATAAAAATTTGAATTAATCCATACTCTTACTCTGAATCGAATCATTTTTCTTTTTCTACAATTTTGTGACACATTCGCTGCAATTTATGCACACGTTGTGACACGATTCAATTATCTAATTCTTGGTAGCGTTGCTGACGCAATTGTTTTTCTTTTTTTCTCTCTCTCTCTCTTATTTGTGTATGTTTTGACAAAATAATAAATAAATGGTGTGCAGAACTTTATATTGCGCTAGAAAGTAATGAATCCTCTTAATAATTAAAATTAATCCTAGAAATTATTTCAAACTAGAGATCTTTATTATTAAAATAGATGGCGCAATAACTTTTATACATTTTCACAATTTTCTAAAAAAGATATTTCCATTTTTCTCCTGAAAACTTATTAATGAAGTTAATCAATTAAAGATATTATTAGAATTTCAGAATGTTCTATATAAAATTTTACCTTCTTTTGCAAGCGTATGACCGAGGTCCATTTCTTTTCCAGAAGGCCTCCATATTTTCTCTCCACTTCCCCGGGCATATCGGCTTCTTTCTTAAACGCCTCAAGCGCATCTTGATAACCATTGGTGCTGAGATAGTCCGCGATCGCCTTATTTCTGGAAGAAGAAGAAGAAGAAAAAGAAAAAAAACACACTAACTATAGCATATCTTTGAAGCTAGTTAAAGATTGCATTTGTCCTTGTTAAAACCAGTTTTAAGTAGTAGGTATAATTCATTGAACACCGTAACGTATGAAAACTTTTTCCTGACCATTAATTATCGATGCAAAAAAAAAAAAAAATCTATTCGATTGTTACTTTTATGTTGTATGACTACTATTCGACATAAAAACAAGTTACGTCATTCAAAAGCAAATTAAAGAAGAAGAATTTTTCAAAACATTAATCATTTTAATTTATTCATAGATCAATTCATTTCTTTTCTTTCCCTCTTTTTTTTTTCATTTTATATAGTTATTTTTATATTGATTAAATTTAAAATAATATGGAAAGTGTTTTAAATATAATCATATAATTAAAAAAAAAAAAAATCGATATTAAACAATCATAAAATAAACGTATATTTAAGTGGATGTTTAATCTTATCTTATTTACTCGCTACAAATTAATTTACGTTAAGCGATTTCCTATTTTCAACCATCAATATAATTTATATATAATTAGGCGACGGATCTCTATATGTAATTCAGTAATCCGTTAATTCATAATGTGAATCTTAATGACATCCTTTTGTTTACAAATGAAATATATCGTCATTGAAATTCTCTCGGCAAGACGAAGATGAGATCTTTGTGTTAGCGGAAGTAACAGAAGTACTTGAACATTCTCCGTTAGCCTCATTTTGTGAAACACACTTTCTTCGTCAACGTGTGAAATAACGCCGCGAACTTGCACGTATCACTCCGCCTTCACAGTACAGCATGCTTCGCAATTGTAATATTTATATTCTGCGTAATATTTCTTTTTATAATTGCGTAATTTTTTTTATAAATAAATATAACCACAATTTATTTATTTATTTATTTATTTTTTGCAATTATTTACTATTGTAGAAAGTTCTATAATAAAAAATTTCCAATGCTAATTTATTTTTATTTATATTTGCATATTATGTGTAATATTATTTATAGCATATGTAAATATAAATAATGGTTATACTAAAATAAATATAATTAATTAACGTGTCAATGTATATTAGAATCTATATTTTTCATAAAAGAGCTCCTTCTCTTCTTAAGATAAACGTTCCAAAACTTTTGAATCGTAGTGTACACATAACTCGCTTCCTTGCACGTGTAGTAGACGTATAGAGTGTCTATCAGACATCGTTCTTACGTGCAACGCTTGCGAACAAGTTATATTCATATCTCTGAAGAATTTGAAATCTAACGCAGCGCTATCTCGCGGCTGGCCAAGTATCGATATAGTTTTCGAGATATAATGACATTTGGCTAACAACCGTTTGCAAGCTAGGTCGATACAATAGAGGGCACAGGTTGAGTACGTGGGAAAGAGATTGAAAGTCGGGCAGAATTATGTCGGGGTGAAAGGCCTGAAGTCGGTCGTTCGTCTCTGTTCACCTGCTTCCACGTGATAGTACGTGGCGAATTATCGCTATAAGTTTTGTTCCGCACCGTTCAAATGCCGGCAAACAAAGTAAACACAGCCGGAAAGCGTGATCGATTCTCTTTCAACGATCCTAGAGATCCTTTCACTTCATCGAACGGGACAACATAATAAATTGCCATCGCTATGCGAGAAACCACCACTTTACCGTAGTATTCCGGGTTGGCCATTTTGCTAATTATTCACGAGTGTTTTAGGGACCGGCCGTCTCTCGAGCAGAGAAAGTTACAGGTGAGCGCGAAAACATATTCGTCGAGCCGTCACTCGAGGCAACGGAAAAAAGGAAAAAGAAAAAGATCGATCCATTTTTTGATCGAAATTCACCTAAGGCTAAAAATTATTATGGTCGGATAAAAATTTTCGTCGTTTATGCTAGCATAAATTTCAAGGATCTCGAGGGTCGCTCGACCGACTCGAACTTCTTTTGTACGAAGACGATCCCTTTCCCACTCTCTTTTAGCCTCTTCTTTTTCTATTTACCTTACACACCCGTCAACGGGTATCGCGTACACGAGATATAAGGTTTCCTCGCAGGAACGAGAACTGCACTCGTATATACATACGCTTAGATTCTTTTCATGAATTTTGTTTACATATGTTATATTCGAATTAATTTATCTAATTCGCGAACGAATATCTTCTATTTGAAACTTCTATTTAATTAGATTAGAAAGAATTTTACTGAGATCGTTATTATTAAAAGATTACGTAAATGTACGATTGGATACATAACCTCAAAATATTTTCATTAATATTGAAATTAATTGTGAACTTTGCGTTTCTCTCTCTCTCTCTCTCTTAAATGTAAATTATAAAATGTGTGAAATTTAATTTGAGACTAAGTAAAACTAAGTATTAGCAAGAGTAATATAATTATATAATATTTTGCACATATACGTTATATATGTATGTCATAAGCATACGCACGCTTTAATAATAATATTAGGTTATGTTTCATTATAATTTTATACATTACATGTTCAAATAAAGTAAACCAAAATTAAAAAATAATAAATAAAAAAAAATAAGAAAGAAAAATACTTAATAAAATATTATATATATATATATAATAATTATTATATTTAAAAATTATAGATTTGCAAAATGACAATCTATTGCTGAAAATTGATAATATTGTCTTAAAACAGAAAATTAAATTGGAATTTAAGAGTTTAATGCCGTGTACAATAATTATAAATTTCATATAGAAATATACATGTAATTCAAATCTTTTTCAATAATTTTATTACCAATCATCTACCACTATAAAACGCAATTTTAATTTCTTTCTATTGCTTTTTGCAAACGGTTATATTTTCTATTCGCACTTGAAACCTCTGACAATCATCAGTACATAAGTAAACGTAGTCACGGAATAAATTTAGATAATCAACGCTGTTTGTATCATTAAATGCTTATTATCATTTAATAGGGTATATATATACTTACAAGATAACTCAGATTAATTTCACTGCAATAAAACCAGCCAGCGCGGTTATTAACTACATATGTAAATTTCAAATCTTAATTATAGCTTCATATATAAATCGAAATAAGAAGATAGTAGATTTTAGAAAGTAATTCTTATTTCAATCAACGAAAGTTTTCCACTTCAACGAGCTTATTACTTATGTAAATAATTTTCTTTCTTTAAGTAATAATATAAGAAAAGGAAAAAAAAAAAATTAGGTAACAAATTTATGAATTTATCAATTAGAAAATTTAATATATAAAAAATTTATAAACTTAATTAATTATATTAAAAATATTACTTCTGTTCCATTAAATAATATAAAAATTTCAAAAAAATCAATAAAAATAGACATATATTTTTTTTCTCTTAATAATAATTGATCGATTCATTTTTTATACGAATCACTCGTGTTTTGTATCATGTAACAATTCTATTATTTATGGCAATTTACGAAAATATTGGACAAATTATGAATAATTAATTTATAGAATATTACGAAAAATAACATATTTCGTTTGTTTCACGAAAAATTGTTTCAACATTTATGATTTAGACCAGATAGATTCTATATCGATATATCGATTGTGGTGAAATGTATAGTCGATCTTGCCAACAAGTTAATTTTGTGGCAAACGACCAAAACAATCTATTTATTCGTAGGTAACCTTTCTATCATTTTAAGAGAAATATTATTGAAAATTATTGCAACATTTTCGTGATTAAAACATGACAACACGATTATTTTCCTAATCAAACATATAAATTTGTTTCTCTTTATGGTAAAAATGAATCGTGTTAATTTAGGTTAGGTTAGGTTAGATATGATTGTGTAATAATCGTTTAAATCGAACTTCGAACACAAACGTGTTTCTTTTTCTTTAAGACAAACGAAATATGCTACTTTTATTATTTTCCTAACATAAAGTCCGTTGAAAGTCTAGTTTTTATGAGAAGATCAATAAAATAAAAAATTTAAAGAATAATTATTTGCCGATGCAGATTCCAATTATTACGTAATGAAAAATAATAAGTTAATGTATGAATTAATCTTTCTTTTTTTTTTTTTATAATAATAATTCATATCAATATATATTTAAACATGTGCTCTTACGATTTTTTTTCTTTTCATAGTTTTAACAAAAATACCTATGATTTCGTGAGAAAATCAATTATATGATAATTTTAATAAAAATTATACGAATTCAAAATCTGAATAATAGACACAAATGTTTTATGTAAATCTACAAAAAAAAAAAAAAAAAAAGAACTTCGATTCGAAGGAAATAATCTGTTATCAAGAAAAAAAAAATCGCCTTTTATCGTAATAATATCCTGTCACGCAAGATAGATCAGTTTTTTTTCTGAAACGCGTGTACACGTTAAAAATGTCACTTCTGTCGGGGGTGCAATTCTTTGTTCCATCCCTTCGAACATCTCCCCCGAAACCCTTTACACAGTAATACGTATCGATCGCGTTTTACACCACTTTCACCCTTCTCCCCTATTATTTTCCACTTTCTTATATGGTTAACGAAACAGAATAGGAGAAACGCTGGCAAATGAAGGGGAGGAGCTTTATCGATTACTAGCTCTCATTGTAGCCAACCGATCTTTAACTTTCGTACACACACTCGACATTGAGGACGTTTGCGCGACGTGTGCACTCCTGCTTAAATGTTTTAAAATTTATTATAACTTGTACACGATCTTATTTTTTTTTTTTTTTTATTATTATTATCGCTCATTCGAACGAAACTTTTTTCTTAACACTGAATTTTATTTCACTTTGTAAACATCATTTCAAAAAGATTAATTTTCATTGTAGAAAACGAATCGATGGATTCGAAATGATATCAATTCACCGCTACTTTCACGCTTTTCGCGTTAATAATCTCGTTTCAACAAAAATAAATAAATACTTCATCAGCTATTTAAATCGATTATTTCCTGATAACGAAAGCTAGTCATCTATTTATTCCTGTTTCCCGGATTTCAACATTTTAATGACCGTTTTAATTCAATTTTTGCATACAAAATGGAAACAAATAAGGAAGCGAAAAAGAATAAGTTATCGATTACACGATAGGATCAATGATCGTTTTAACAAGGCTTAAGTTTCATTTGATAACTCGAAAGATGATGCACCGGAGCTTGATAAGAGGTGTTGTAGATGATATTCTGAGTAGCCACCTGTAATGAAACCCTTTATCATATTATCCATCTTCTTTGTCTATATTTATTCCTTTGTTTCCAAGATCTCGTTCTACTTTAACACGGTTAATGGCGCACCTTTAACCAGCCACTTCCGAGTAATTTTACTTTTTAATAACCAGATGTTTTTGAAATTGTGGTGCTGCTAAATATTTAAGTGCTGCAATTAATCCAGAACCAGAAGATAATCTGGTAATTATTTTTCCTTTATTTTACTTTATTTCGCGATATTTTTTATTGCTCGTGCTTTCGAAAATCAGTAAATCAATAATTTGAAAAATTTCTCAATTTTTGAGGATGTAAACATCTCGAATTCGAATAAATTTACTTTATATTTTCTAAACGTTCCTCGATACGTTCTTGATGCATCAAACAAAAAATTATGAAGCATATGTTAACAGAAAAAACATCTATAAATTTTGCACACAAGATGCTAATTCAATTACTCTATCATTTTTATTTTTAGACTACCGTTCTCTTCGATAAATTATTTCTACATCATTTTCCCACGATACATTCCATTCGTTCGATATATTATTCTTCAACTCTCTTTCGCAATATCGTAAATATCATTTTGATTTTTAATGATATTTTTTTAATTTCTTTATACGCCCTTTTAAGACAGTTATTTCGTGATACAAGAATCTATTAAAATATATGATTATTTTATACCGGTTAATAATAATAAAAAAAGCACTAGAGCAAATCCATGTACGTTCCCATTCATATTATACGACATTGAACGCTCAATTTCTCTATGTGATCTAACCTAAAAACAATTTACCTATATATTTGTCGCAATCAAGATTGTAACATTCATTGCATGCAACACATTCCCTGCATATATTATATCATACTTTGATTCTATATTATGACCTACTTAAATGCCGCGTAATACTGTGTTCTTAATCTGTTAATTGTAAAATCATAATTTTTCGTTCGTGATTCATTCGTTCGCGTATCACTGCGAAATCGTAGCTGTATTCGTAAACGTGCATAAAATTTCATATTGGAATAGCACGTGCAATTTGACGCAAAAATTCTCGAATGATTCAATAATACAATAATAGAATTATTGAATTGTAATTATATGAATAATTAAAAGTGAAAATGTGTTGACAAGAAATATTCGCTGTATAATTTTAACAATAACGAGAATAAAAAGCATATATGATAATTCTATCTTTTCACGTTGTTCGAAAGACAATGAAAACAATTTCCAATGGACTGGTGTTCAGCTCTTTAGTCACTATTATCTATCCTCCTGAGAGGTTATGTTCACTTCGAAGAATAACAAATGCATATACGTTAAGTACTTACACGATGAATCAAATAAAAAGATAATCATTAACGAACAATATTTTTTACAAATATATAACCAATTATTGTATATACGGAATCAGATAAAATTCTTATAGGAAATTCTACATCGATTACGCACCACGATTGAGACATACCATCCTACTTAAAGAAAGACCAATGAAAACACACGTCTCAACTCCCCACTACACAGCCCTAAGTGCTACACAATTAACCTCCTGCTTAACATAATTTTTATAAATAGTATAACTAAGAAAATATAACGGCAGAAATTATATTAAGGTTAAAGAAAAATGAAAAATAAGAGTCTAAAGATTAAATAAAAATTCACAGATAACTTTCATTTCATACATGCCACATACGTTCCTTAAAAAAAAAAAAGAAACGAAATAAAGATAAAGAAGAAGATTTGAAAATTTATCTCGAGAAAGTATGATCCCCTGTCCCGGAATGTCCATCCCTACATTTCCACACTTCTGGTCATTTCTTTCTTTATGTGGTGGCGGGCTGCCGGCGGCGTCCACCGGTTCTTCGACGCGTTATCGATCCCGCTATTCGCGCGTGCTCGAGAGACGCCCTCTCCTGCGGCAGCTGCCGCGCACCACACGCGTCGATCCACGACCGATTTGACGTCACCGGAATTAGTCAGCATCGATCGACAACACGATCGATGGTGTCCCGTTTTCCCCATTAATAACTCGACAAGGGAAGTGTATCGCGAGTATCGACCATCCTTCGCGGCTCTGTCGTTGCTCTCTTTCGAGGAGAAAATAATTATAGAAAACGCAACCGCATTTTTCGTCACGCTCGCTTATTGATCTTTGACCATTTCTGCCTTCGTTTCGCCCGTCTCCGATTAATCGACCGTTCGAGGGTAACGATAAGGTTTCGGGCAGCGATGATGTCAGTTGCTAGGTTAGGTTTAACTCTCTCGATGATCGATTGCTTCGTTCGATAAAATCAGAAAATTTGATTTAATTAGATAAGAGATAATTTTGAATTTATTGTATATCACTTTCGATTTAGCTATCGTATTCGGAGAATTAATACTACAACTTCTTTTATAAATAATACGAATAAATTAAAAATTCGAAGATTTCACGACATGTGTATATGGAAATTTAAGGTTAGAAGAATTTAAGGTTTCGAGCAGCGACGATGCTAATTCTTAGGTTAGATTTAATTCTTTCGATGATCGATTGTTTCGATAAAACGAGGGAATTTTGAATCTATTACAACTTCTTTTAATAAATATTGCGAATAAATTAAAAATTTTAAGATTCCACTTAAATATCTTAGACAATTTTTCGTCTACTTAAGACTTTACTTTGACCTCACCATTACGATATGTATGTATATAAAAATTTAAGGTTAGAAGAGTTAAAATTGACATTTCATAGTTGGTATTGACATTTTGCAGAGTTGACATTTTGTAGAATAGAAGAGAAGAAATTTGTTTTTGCAACTTTTGTTTCTGTTTGCTTTTATATAAATTTTATTGCTTAATCAACATTGCTAAAATAACATCAATTTTATCGAGTATGTACAATGTTATTATTTTTATTTTGAAATTCATTTTTTGAAAAAAAAAAAAAATTTATCCGATTCGCTCAATAATGTAATGTAATTTGTTTTCGTTTAAAAACTTCTTTCGCAATATCTTCATGAAGCGTAAAAACGTTTTCTGGTTCAAGTACAGCGATGAAAGTTCCGAAAGTACATACATACATGTATGTTTAACGTTGATTTTCAAGCAGTTTCAAAAACTATAATATGTTTTTTTAAAAGAAGAAAAATATTGAACAAGAAAAATATAGAAAGAAATTTTTATTTTTTTTTTTAACCGTTTCGTTAAGCTTCTCCTATAACACGAATTTCTTTCCTGCTATTCCAATTTCCTACCGTATTAGAAATATAATGAGTCATAAATTGATGATGACAATTAATTCACGTACCGATGATCCTGAATGAGACTAATGTTTACAGATCATTTCGTTCGAATGAATGAAAACGTATTATAATAAATAAATCATGTAGTTTGAGACTACATCTTCATCAATATATAATTATCATTTGAATTTGAAAATAATTATTATTCGTGCAAACTTTGTTTGTATTATGTTGTGCCTTAATTCTAATAAAATCAAAAGGAAATAAAGAAAAAAGATACGATAGATTTCGATATCTACTATAGATTCGTTTTGTCTCATTTCTGTCGTTACAAAAATGAAAGAAAAGAAAAATGAGCGAGTATGCAATAAGGCCTTTTGTTCTCGTCTATTCAACCAAGATTAATGTGACCATACTAGATAAAATTTCGTTGCGTTGCAATCCCTTTCATCTTTTCCTTTTCTCGCGGATAATTTTACGATGATACTTATTATCCTCGACTTGCTTTCCTGCGTAACAATTGACATAATATGTGCTCTGTCGCACCATACTCCTCTCTGCCTTACAAAATCCCTCCAAGAATTCTTGTTAAAATTAACGTACGTATATTACGTATATTCATAGACCCTTTACTTTGCTTACAGTTTACAAACAATTGCATTATATCTTTTCTTACTACTCCTGTATTTTTTTTTTTTTTTTTTAAGTTATCGTTTCTTTTGTTCGTACAAATTGGAAATATAATCGTGGAACGATATTTCCTTGATGAAAAATTCCTCATTCCAAATGTAGCAGAGCAAAATAATTTAAATGAAATGTTTAAGATTAAATTATTATGAACTTAAAACGATTGTATAACTAAAGTTCTACGATCGTACAACCAAATTGAATTGATTTATATCCGTCCTTTCTATCAGCCGATTTCCTATCAAATATGAAGATCTGATCCTCCCCACTTATCGTAGTCCATAGCTGGTGCTTCTTCATTAATAATTAGTATGCATTGCGTGTTACAAAACATGCTCTGGCTATAATCGCACGATAAAAATTTCACGCAGCGTATTTCTTTTCCGCAGATGTTTCGCAATAACGATACGTGCATCTCTACTGTTCACAATTTCGATCCTGTTTATTAAATTAGAAAAAAAAAAAAAAACTTTTTATCCAAATGTTTTTACTCGCATTTTAAACAAGAGTAAACAACAATAACTCCTTGCTTTCGAACATTTCAAAAGTATGAGGGGATTACCTAAAGAAATGTTGGTTAGCAAGCATAACTAAATACGTAAAATCATACTTATACTCGCTTATATGGAAGAAACAATAGTTGTGTAAATTATTTATTTCTGGAAAGGTTTAAGTGCAATGACCGACGACTTTTCTTTTTGGCGAATTGGATAAACGTGAAAATTTATAAACTTACAACTCCTCCCTCTGACGTTGAGACAGCACCATTTTCATGATCCTTGCGTGTGTTTATTGGCTGATACTCAACAGTGATTCAAATGAGCGCGACTAGATTCTTCTCCAGTCAGCTCCTGATTAGTTTAATACCCAGCCATCGACATCGCCTGTAATAAAGCATAAAATTTTAAGCATAAAGTTAATAAATAATAAGAATTAAAAATTGTAATGATTGTTGCATTCTAAAGAAATAAAAAAAAAATGTACTATTACAATATTCAAAATGGGATGAAAGAAGCGATAGTGAAATATATTTTTTTTTAAATTTCATAGAAATTCCTTTAAACATTGTTACGAATAATCAACATAATTATCAATTATGATTATACAGATTCTAAAATTAGATTCCTTATTGAAGGTGAAATTAATTGAAGAAATGGATAAATAATGGTAAAACTAGTGTAATCAAATAATTCTTTCTTGAATATATTGTATATTTTTGCATAATTTGATTTAAATGGATAAATATTTATAATTATTAATGATGAAAGAATTTCAGAATCAATTTCATTCAAAAAATCAAAATTTGTGTGTAACACCATATATCTTAATCTTTAAATTGCATTCATTATGAATTGATAATCTATTATAAGATTTCTTTTTGCTTTTATGATGATTTTTATTAATCATCATCGAATACACATAATGTGTAAAAACACATAAAACTTTATTTTTAAGATATACAATTATTTAATATAAATAATAAAATATAAATCAAATTTTATAATGCTTATTTTGATGAAAAAAAGGAAAAAATTAATTAAAAAATATTAAGGATGTAAACAATTGTTTCATAAATAAATAAATAAATAAAAAAAAATGTAAATGCGAAAAAAAAGAAAGAAATACACAAATATATATCCTAAAATCTTTAATTAATTACAATAATATGCTCTAAATTAATTATAATTTATTTTGTTTTTTCGTCAATAGAAAAACAAGGCGATTCAACGAAGAAATATATTTTATTCTTTTTTTATTGCTAAAACAATGTAATTATTAACATTGTAAATTTAATCTTTAACTATAAATTGAAAATAGAATTTAAAATAGAAATTTGTCTTTATTAAATCAAGATTTATGAAAACAATCATTTTTTCTAATTTCTTTTTGTTATAAAATTAAAAAATAATCTCGACGAAAAATGATTTTATTGGATTTGTATTTTTATTAAAAAAAAAAAAAAAAATTAATATATGAAGAAAGAAAAAAATATAACAGCGTTTATAAATATTAAATTTAATTTTTCGTAATATTTATTTAAAAATAAAAATTTCATTTCAATTTAAAAAATAAATGAAATCATTTTTCTTAACAATAATACCATTTTAAAATTTAATCGAATTGATAATATCAACAATAAAGCAAATTTTTATATAAAATAATTTTATACTATCGAATACTATCACGGAAAAAGAAACATTTCACTGTGTACATTTTTGTACATTTATAACGATTGCACAATAATTGTTAAAGTATAGTATGTATTCGTAAACAACATTTGTAAACATCAACATATGTATATTCATATTTTTCACTTTGTATCACTAATTCTTTGTATAAATTTGTATATTTATATTTTGAGTGAGATTAAACACGTTATTTGAACACAAAAATCAATACATTTTTATCTATGTCATAAATTATAAGTATTATTACAAAATTTATCTACAAATTTATATATAAACAACATACAAGAATCAGAATATTGATTATATTCTCTGCGAAACCCACCCTCGCGATGCAATCCGTGGAATGACATAACATTTGGCAAAATACGCGGGCCACGATCAAATAATAGAAACGAATTGGACAATGATGTTTAAATGACGATTACAAAAGTCTAACGTAATTGGTGAGTACGAAATGAAATCAACCAATTAGAATGAACGAATCGAGAGCAGCCATTTTTTCCCGGTAACATTCGAGTTTGATCGACGACTAAAAAATCTTTGAGAACAATCTTTCGATTGTCTTCGTACGCAAGAAATCTTGTACGCAAAGAAACGTGTCATGAGAAGAAATACTTTAAGAGGAAGGACCTTGACAATCGAGAAAGCGCGCTGCGTCGTCGCGACGCTTTATGACGATGCTTATCGGCGCGATGCGCCGTAATCGATAAACCGGCTGTCCGCCCACCCTCGTTGCTGTGTATTTCACCTTACGGTGCATTCAAATATTCATGACGGCCTCCTTTAATTCTCTAATCCAGTCATGTTAATATATTCTATATATTCTCTAAAATATCTTATGATCAATTCTAAATATATCTGATTGACAACATCTGTAATAAGTATATTATTTATTTTTCATGTATTTATTTTATTACGAGCCAATTTATATGTGGATATAATTTGATAATACTAAATTTTTGGAATAAAAATCTATCTTTCTTAAGTTGAAGAAACTTGAATTTATAATGAAATTTTTATAATATTAAAAAAAACACAAATATTATTTTAAACAATAACAATTATATAATTGAGAGATTGTTTTTTTAATTCGCGAATTTACTAAAATGTATTTATATGTAATATTAATGACCAATGATTTTTTTTGTAAATTATTTCCGGGATCATCAGTACGGGTGAGCGACTCTTGGCCTTCTCGACCTCGCAACTACACTACGACAATCTACCTGTAGCTTCGCTTTTCTCAACTAATCTACTTACATATTAGTACGAAAAATTAAGTTAAGATCGTTGGTAGATCCAAACATCAAAACGATTTATTTTTCGCGCGTTCAAAAAGATAAAATGAGATTCATTTAAGTAACAGTAGTACTAATGCTAATTTTCAAGGAAAAATATGCATAACTTTAAAAAACTTCAACCTACGATAAGAATTTATAAATAATCATTCCATTTGTATTCCACATAGGAATATCAATAAGAATTTAATTCGATGACAGACTCGACAGCTGATCGCTGACTCGACAGCAACTAGGTACAAACAACGTCTGTCAAAAGATGCAATCAGAACATTTTCTATTGTAGATTACTTGACAGATAAGATAATACTCAAGTCTAAAGAAAATGAAATTCAGTACAAAGGTTTATGTACGATGGCTCGGCAGTTGCGACAAAGCGGTTGTACTACCGCACAACGCAAACGGTCATTCGCGAAAAAATCAATTCGAAGTGACGTGCAACATGTATGTTGAATATGTGTGGAACATAATTGGATGACTGACTGAAAGTCATCAACCAGAGTCTAAATCGGTTTTTGATCAAGTATACACTGTCAGACAATGTCACGTCGGTCAAAAAGCGCTGCTACAAAATCGTCGGACGAACGCGGAACAACCGTTTGTTGTAAATCGTGCACGGCCATTTTGCTAGAACCTGTCACGTCTGGTTGCTGTAGATTTTAGAGTCAGATCAATCTACGAAGTAACGAATACAATATGGGAATCGAAGCTCACATATTTAGCATTCGATACTCACTCTTTTTGTCGGAGTAGTAATAACCGGGATCCTTTGAGATCGGAAAAAAAAATCACAGGAAAACCGGACGAACACAACCACCGAAGAACTACTGGAGATAACTTCTGCGATAGGACTGTCTCACAAGGTGGCGCCTGCGAAAGTCTTCTTTCTTAACGCATGCGCTAAATATCGATGTCACTAATCTTTCTCACTGTCCGAGAAAACTATATTTCGACCATTGTAGTCACTAGGGAATTTTCCATTAATTGCATTTACTTACATATTTCTATAAGAACTTTAGGGAATCTTGAATACACACGTAACTATTTAACAAGCACAACCTTTTAATATTGTAAATAATTGTATATAAAAAAGAGAAATAAATAAATATTTATAATATTAAACAAAATATTAGTTTTTACCGAAACATTTTTGAAAATTTAGAATTTTGAAGAGGTTAAGGTAATACATCAACAAAAAATCATCAACAATGTAAACATTGATATAATATTGATGAAATTTTATTGTCAACAAAAATTTATTTACATTCAATATTGTTAAATTTATCGTTTATAAACTTTTTTAGGTAAGATTTAAAAATAAATTAAATCTGTTACGTCGTCAACCGGCGACGTAACCTGCTTCTACTTAATGTCTATTTACATGTTTTGTAAATTTTAAATTTGTAGAACTATACCATTTAAAGAACCAAAATCGAAATTTTGATGGCTTTTTCACAATCAAATTCGAGAGGTAATATTATTTATAATTATTATTATCTTTTTTTTTTTTAATTAAAAACGAAATCCTTACTTTCACTGATTGCAGAATTACAAAACAGAAAAATTTTGGAAGAATTGCAATTAAAAAAACAAATGCTTTTAAAACAAGGTGTAGCACCAACATTGAATACATCATTAGTAACTTCAACAGGTTCTCCTTCTAATTTGGTAAATAATATGTATTCATATATTATTTTTGTTCAAATTATAAAATAGAATTGTATGTATTTTTAAATATTTTTATTTCTTAGCCTTCTACACAACCCTCTGATGGTGTTGCTATGAGTGCATCCCAAAGAGCTGCCTTACATAACGCACATGCAGCATCATCAGGATATTTTGTAACACAGGATTCCTCTTTTGGCAATCTTATTTTACCAGTTCTTCCTAGATTTGACACTAAATAAAGAACTTAAATTGCATAATTTCAAATTATATAAATGACTATGCAGACTTTAAATTGTGTGATGAAAGTGATTTTGAACTATATATGTTTTTTTAAGTGCGCTTCTTATAGTGAAATTAAAGCATAAGGTGATAATTAATAATTAATCAAAATGGCTAACATTCAACTTCGTGAGTTAGAAGAATATTTACAACAGTTGGATGGATTTGATAACCAAAAATATTACTTGAACAATATTGTACTAGTGCTCATATTGCATCACGCATGTTGTACTGTGCTGAAGTTCAATTTAATGATATAGAGGGACATTCAGTAGGTGACTTAGGTTGTGGGTGTGGTGTTTTATCACTTGGAGCACAGATGCTTGGAGCAAGTCATGTAATTGGTTTTGAAATAGATTCTGATGCACTTAAAATTCAATCTAAAAATTGTAATGAAATAGATTTGTTTGTGGAAGCTATACAATGTGATGTATTACAATATCTACCAGGTAGGCTTGTAAATATATAAAATTTATTTAAAAAAATTTATATAAATCTTTATGTTATTATATTACAGACCGATTTGAGAAGTACTTTGATACAATTATTATGAATCCACCATTTGGTACAAAGCATAATACAGGTATAGATATGAAATTTTTAAAAGTTGCAACCAAATTAGCATCAAATACTGTGTATTCATTACATAAAACAAGTACCCGTAACTATGTCCTTCAGAAAGCTGCACAATATGGAGCCAAAGGCAAAGTTATTGCAGAACTGAGATATGATTTACCAAAAGCATATAAGTTTCATAAAAAAATCTCTGTAGATGTTCAAGTGGATTTTATACGATTTGAATTAAATTACTAAATATTTTCATGAAAAAATATTGTACATCTTAACTAATTATTCGAATTTTAGACCTTGAGCTAACGGCATTTCATTTCCATAATTAATAGTTACAGTAGCACGTCGCATGTAATTCTTCCATGCATCACTTCCACTCTCGCGACCACCACCTGTAGCTTTTTCCCCACCAAATGCACCACCTATTTCTGCTCCGCTAGTTCCAATATTAACATTTACTATTCCACAATCTGAACCATGAGGACCCATCCACTAAAGAAAAATATTTATATTTTAACATTATCATAATTTAACATAAATAATATATATATACATACTTGGAAAACATTTTCTAAATTTTTCGTAAATAAGGCGCTGCTTAATCCTTGCTGTACACTATTATTAATAGCAATAGCATCTTCTAAAGAATTTGCTTCAAGAATGTATGCAATTGGTGCAAAAGTTTCTTTTTCAACAATTCCAGCATTAGGTGATAAACCAGAAATAAGTGTTGGTTCAACATAAAAACCAACTCTATCTATTTGTTTTCCACCAAATTCAATTGTACCACCACTTTGTATAGCAGTATTTATTGCTTCCTAAAATCCGTATATTTATTTCTTAATATAAAATTAAAATTTTCGTAAAAATATTTTTATTTATTAAAATAAATTTATAAAAATGAAAATAGTATTTATAAAATTTTAATTATTTGGATTATTTATTATGATATTATTTTTTTTTTTGTACAAATTGAGATATTTAGTTTGAGTTTATATAAAAATATAATATTAAAAAAGAAATTGAAAAATAAAATTTTTTTATAAATTTCATACTAGATAGAGTATAATAAGAATATATATTATTACCTTATATGCATCAACCGCGTTTTGATTATGCAATGGTCCATATAAAACATTATCATCTAAAGGATCTCCTATTCGATCCAAAATACTCTTGAATGCAATTTTCAATTTTCCTATAATTTGCATATTATTTATTTAAAGATTTCTTATAATTTAAATTCAAATTTTATTAATATCTTAATTAAAATATATAATTTTACCTAAAAATTCATCTTTTATTTTCTTGTGAAGGATTAATCTTCTAGTAGCTGTACATCTTTGTCCAGCTGTTGCTGTGCAAGAGAATAATGCTGCTCTGACTGCTAAATCTAAATCTGCATCTTGATTAACTGTTATAAAAAAAATTCATGTACTATAATTGTATAAAAACGATATAACTATTATAGTTTCATTTACCTATCAATGCATTATTGCCCCCTAATTCTAACAAACATTTTCCGAATCGTTCTTGAACTTTAACAGCCACATTTCTTCCAATTTTAGTACTTCCAGTAAACGAAATTAGAGGTACACTAGAAATAGAAATGATAATATATTAGTATATAATATAATATTATACTAAAAACAAAAAATTACTAAGATTTTTGCATTTTACCGTGTATCATTAACAAGAGTGTCACCAACATCTGATTCACCAGTTACTAAACTTGCAACAGCACCTGATACACCATTTCTTTCTAATACTTTTGCAATAATTTTTGTAGTTGCAATAGAAGTTAATGAAGTAGTAGGTGCTCCTTTCCAAACAGATGCATTTCCACATACCATTGCTATTGCACTATTCCAACCAAATACCTAAAACGATATTTTTCCATAATTTTAATTATTTTTTTCAATTTTTATAATTTATTTTTAAATTCCACGTACTGCAACAGGAAAATTAAATGCAGAAATAATTCCAATAACTCCAAGAGGATTCCATTGTTCTAAAAGTGCATGATCTTTTCTTTCTGATGGAAATATATTGCCAGATAGCATTCTAGATAAGCCAACAGCATAATCACATATGTCAATAAACTCTTGAACTTCTCCAATACCTTCTGGCAATATTTTACCTGTAAAATTAAACATTGAAATTAGATAAAAATCAAGTTGAATAGGGAAAATTATGGAAAAACTATAATATAGAAAATATACCCATTTCTAAGGATACTAATTGTCCTAATGGTCTTAAATTATTTCGTAGTTCATCTCCAATTTGTCGTATTATTTCGCCTCTTACAGGTGTAGGTAATGATGCCCATTGAACCCATGCTTTATGAGCTTTTGTAATAGCATTACTTGCTTCTTGAGGAGTTGATGTTCTAATTTTTGCTATTACTTTGCCGGTTGCAGGTGAAACTGATTTTATCACCTACATTATAACATTATAACATTAACGAAATCATAATTTTATTAACTTATTCGTATTAAAAATAATTTTAAATAATAATGAAATAAATAAAATTCCCGTAAAAAAAAAATAAATAAAAAAGAATACCTTGCCAGATCCTCCCCATTGTCCATCATAAAGTCCTGGATTTTCAGTTGTAAGGCCTAATTGTTCAAAAATCCATATTTCGGATCAGTGACTAAGTGTCTAACCATTTGCCATTGTGGAACATTATTTCTTGACAATAAACGAAACATTGTTAATTATTTATTACTAACAGTTTGAAGCTTCTGCCACAATATAAGAAGACTACGGGTTATCAAAATAACCGCTTATCAAAAAAAAGGAGGGATGTGATAAGTTTAAATCAATAAATATCTCAAGAAAGTGCAATTAATTTTGAACTTTATACATATTACAAAATAATTTTATAATTAGTATTATTACTAATTTGATAATAATATGTCACATCATTTAAAGTTTATAATAAACATTTTTTTATATATATTATATATATTTGCTTCAATAATAGAAATATATTTTTTCAATAAAATTTGTGAAAAGGTTGAATTAGAAAATATAAATGTAGTAATTAAAATATTAGAAAAACGCGTTTTATTCCGTAACAATAACGCTACCAACATCACAATGCGATACGGCAGTGATTTACAAAGAATAATAATTTCAAAAGACATTTGTTCTTTTATATTTTATGCTTAAAAAATCTTTGATATCCTTTGAGGCATGGAAATACACTTGTTTTTCTTAAATTTCATTATTGAAATTTTTGTATTAAACATGTCATTGTAATTCATCTGAATATGATTATTTCAGCCAGGTCGACAAAATTGGTAACATCGTAGATCGGAGATCAACTGCAGTACTGATCTTGTTAAAGTTGGTTGATCCTATTAGTATGTAATAAAATCAATAAAAATATTTTTTATTAACTATTTGAAAAATCAACTATTTTTAAATTTAACTTACAGTAGATTTGTCAAAATTTCCTAATAATGTAGCTTTTTGCATATCATCTACGCCTTCACAACTTGTTAAAAATGTCGGTAAAAAATGTCCAAAAAACCATGCTATATTAACTGAAGCTAAACTATGAATAGCAGTTGCAATTTCATCTGCTAATAAATTATGGGATCTGAAAATAAATATTGTTAAAATATTTTGTTATTTTAAATAATAAATAATGATTAAAAAATATTCAACTAACTGTTGAAACAGAACAGTAAATAATGCCATTAGAAATCTCTCGAGTAAATGAACTTTAAATACAGCTCGTTGATACAGCCGCCATCGTACATTTAATTGTTCAAGACTTTGTAAACTTTGACGAAATATGTTAACATCTGGTTGAAGAAGAGCTTGACCAAAAGCTTCTAAAATTGCAACTAGTTCTTCCTTATGTTCAACAGATTCTTCTTCGTCAGTATGACCAAGAGTACGTAATATCGAAGTATTATAAAAATATTGCCACCGATGCATAAGTATACTAAATAAAATATTTTACATTTATTAAAATTATATTAACAATTAAAATAATCAAAATAAAATTAATTCATTACCTATGGAAAAGTTTTAATAAAACGAGTGTAGTATCTGGATGCGCGCTAAGATCATTTCCGACAGCAGGCCATACTTGACCTAAGCATAAGTTAGTCACTGAAGGAACAAATGCTTTAAATGCATTGCTAGGTGCTGATACAACTAATATTAAAATCTCTAATAATTGATCTAATGCAGGTCCTGCGGATATATTTTCTCTATAAATGAATAAAATATGAAATAAAAAATTTTTATTACATTATTTTGTTATGTTTTATTAAATTAAATAACTCACCTGGTATAAATATGTAACATTCCTTGAACTGCATTTTGAGTAAATTCCGGGCCCAATTGTTGTTGTAACACTGAAAATACTGAATGCAAAAAACGGAGCAAGATTTCACATACACTCTGACATCTTATCATAAATGGTAATAATTCTAATGTTCGATTTATAGTTGATCCCAAACATGAATGTAACATTTTTTTTATCGTTGTAGATGAAGCAGAACAGTCTTCTAATAATTGAGTAAGTGGCACTATTGTTATTGAAATTGTAGATTCCGAAGGTACGGGTTGCCCTTCTAAACCGAGAGGTGTAGATAATGTTGATATCATTGTGCCTAATTTAAATTAAAATAATATATTTATTTCTAATTATTATTTAAACATTTAAATTTAACAATTTAATAATTTTTAAAATTTATTTACCTAATAATCTTTCTCTAATAGATCCATCGCCAGGTGGTAAGATAATTGCATTCACTAATGCTCTTCGCAATACTTTTATTGTATCAGGCTTGAAAAATGGATATGTTACCATAGAAATTAAGTTTCTAAACGCGGGTTCATCCCATAGAACCGGTTTCAGAATAGCAGTGATGCTTTGGAAAAGATGTGTAGCGGAATGAGTTAAATTTGTTGGTGGTGGATTGTCATAGAATGTTGTATAATCTAATGCTAAAATACATGAATCAATACATCGTTGACAAAGTGATTCTTTTATTTTTTCTGGTCTGTTAACTATCCAATGGCACCAAGCTTGAAGAGATGCTAACAATTGTGAATGACTAATCAGAAAAATAAAATATAAATGTAATAATAATTTTGTCAAAAAAAAAAATGATTTGTTTCATAAATGTTACTTACACTTCAATGAGATCTATTACAATTGCAGCTGGTTGCAATGATGCTTTGTACAATTGATTTGTTTTGGCAAATTTACATGCATCTAATGTCTGAGATATTAATTCTTCAGCAAGTGATTGGTCAATACTTTGATCATCCCCTGTTATTATAAAAAATTATTATAAAATATAATTATCTTATTAAAAATTAATTTACCAAGAAAAAGTGAATATAATCTAGCTAATGCTTGAGTAGTAGAAGCTAAATCTCGTAAATGTGCATGAACATTTGATGCCTCTGATTCATTTAACAAAATAACTTGATTATTAGCAATAACGGATCCTAATTCTCCAAACATTATTAATCCTT